GTTGTATTGTGCTTCGCGGTTGGCCGGAGGGGGAGGCCCTTCGGGCCGATTTCTGCCATCATTCTTTTGAGAAGGGTCCGTGTTACGGCGATCCTTCTCGATCTCCTCTGCTTCGGCGTATCGGTCCCCTCGCTGGAGGGCCTTTGTATAATCGCGGGGGGGATCGGTGATAAGGCTCCTGGAGAAATTTCCGTTGCGGAGGACGGTGTGGAAGAGGGCCATCAGTGTTCTGTCATCAGCGCCTTCGACCTCGAGGGAGGCCTGCCTCCAGTGCTCTAGGAAACTCCGAAGGGTTTCCTCCTTCTGTTGCCTCACGTTCAGTAGGTGGGAGAAGTGTTTCTTTGAGCGATGCCTCCCGGCGAATTGTGTGAGGAAGCGGTGGGCAAGTTCTTGCCAAGAATTGATGCTGCCTAATTCGGGCAACCGATTGAACCACTCATACGCTGGCCCCTCCAAGGTGGAAAGGAACCAACGGCACAAGTATTCATCTGATGCCCCCATCATCATCATACTGTTCCGATATCTGCTATAATGTTCTTGGGGGTCCGTCTTCCCCTCATAAGGCTTGATGGGTTGCCCTCGGTACTTGTTGGGGATCTTAGCCGCCAGCACCCTTGGGGTGAAAGGTGTTCTGGTGCGGAGTTGGATGAGGGGTTCGCCTGAGCCTTCGGCGAACTTGCGCTTCATTTCCTCCATCTCTTTGAGTATGGCGGTGTATTTCGGATCCGCCTCTAAACCCAAGGCGTGAGGCGTCTGGCGTGCCTCTTTCTCCTCCAACTGGCGCTGGAGGGCTTCGATGATGTCGTCCTTGTAATCCTTCGGGGTGGTGCCTTGAGATTTCGCCCTGAAGGATTGGGCGTGGTTGATCTGATGCCTGGCGTCCTCGAGGCGAAGAAGGGCTTTGCATTTGTCCCGAGGGGGAGGCATGCCCTCGGCCCCCGAGGCAGAGGCTCCACTCTCTTGGGGCCTGCTGATTGCTTGCTTACCGAGGCGGTCTTGGACCCCTCGGTGTCCGGGGGCACCCCCTAGCCTCTCAAGTGCAGAGGTTCGGGGTTTTTCTTTGATTACGGGCCGCTTGTCCTTGGATTGGGCCTCTTGGGAGGCGGTAGCTTGTGCCATGACCCCCTCGACGTTGCCAATCCCCATGGGAGGATTGTTGAACAGAGGAGGGAGTGGCGGAAAATGGACAACATTTCCCCCGACATAGGGTTGGAGGGGCGCCTGTGAGACGAAGGCTCCAGGGTTGAGAGCCATGTTTTGGACAAAGGCCGCAAAGGCAGCCTGAAGATCGATGGCCGGAGGGGGAACTTGGTTCTCACTCCGATCCCTCCTTCGATTATCAAGGCCAATGCGGGCATCTGGGGCGTTCTTCTGCAGCTGCTGACGGAGGTCAGTAGCGGCCTGCTCTAATTCGAGGATGGTACCGCCTTCGGGTACCAAGAGCCTGTTGGAGGCTTCAGCCCCGTTGATTTCGCCGGGGGCTACGTGGTTCTCCTCAAGGGTTTTGGATTGAGCACGAGTTTTTCCCATTTTTGGTAGGTGTTTTTTGTTTGGTGGAGGGGGAGGTTTTCTCACTTGATTATTCAGACCTCTCAACGAGAGCACCAAATGATGGACAGTCTACCCGGGGGGTATCTTATCCGAGGGGTTATTGCGGGAATAACTAGAGAGAAGTCAGAGCGAAATAGGAGGAGAGAGAGCCGATTTATTAAATGAACTCAGTGCGTTGAGATGTCGATCGTTTACAAGGAGAAATGGGCTGCTATTTATAGCAGCAATAAATGCGATGAGAGTACACGTGTCAGTAATCCAACGGACGAGGGGTCACATCAATCGGGGTGGCACCGGCAGTGGCATGTTCACCGCATTGAATGCGGTGGGTGGATGTGACGTCGCATTAAATGCGGTGGTTGGCTGTCTCCAAAGGGAATCTTCGATGATTGAGTCTGGCTGGCCGAAGGCTCCTTGAGTAGTCGAGGGCTTCATGTGGCTGGGCCCCCCGTGTAGCCGAAGGCTTGATTCAACCGAAGGCTTCCCTGATGCCGAAGGGTCATGCTGCCGAAGGCTCCTGTTTTCTGCCGTTTTCTCCCAGTAGCTTCGTATGCCAAAAAAGGCTATGCTGTGAGTTTTGGAGCCTTCGGCCAAGGAGGCCGAAGGCACCCCAGTGTGCATTTTGGGCTTCTTTGAGACTCGGGCCGCTGTTTTTGGGCCTCGAATGTTCCATGGGCTTAATGGGCCTGTGCAAGAGAAGCAAGAGTCTACGGGCCGGGGGTTCCTGGGCCATATACTCCATCATATATATTATTGCATACTTTTCTAATTATATGTGTAGACGGAAAATTCGTTAAAAACTAGCAGAAGTTAAATAGATACTTTTTTCATCCCAACAATTTCGCCCAACTTCAAATACTGTGAAAATACAAAAAGTAAAAGTGTATAATTGAGATTTGTACAAAGGAAAGAGAAATGACTAGAACAATAAATTAGTATCTTGAAGTAAAAGTGTATAAATTTTGTCACTTTCCATTTTAATCAATTATTTTATGGTCACTTTATTTCCATCTCTTCTGCTCAATCCTCAACCACACAATTTTTACTTTATTATTTTCCGTGTCAGCCAAGCGACAAAATTTTAAGAGACAAATGAAGTATATAATTATGTGCGTGGTGTGTAAAACTAACATGTACGCAAAGAAAGAGCTAAAGAAAACCTCTCCTACTTGGATTCCTCCACTAGCATCATGTAAGCAAAGTAAAAGTAAGATCAGGTGACTCTATTTTTTGTCTGAGGCTTATCAATTAACTTTTTCATCAAATACGTAATTTTTGATTTCCTCACGCAGAATAATGCAATAATAAGATAAATTAAGGCGGTAGTTATTTTTCTTGTTGTATTCAACCATTAAGGTGAAGTTACGGTAGAAGATCATTTTAGTTATTTATTCATACTTCGTATAATTTTTTTTTTTTAATTAATAAAATATTTTAAATTTAATTTTTTTTCCCAGTAAAATCATTCAATCTAATTACTTGAACTTCATAATTTACTTCAACGGAATTGCTGATTTGAATATTATCTGCCAAAACGGTCGGGGGCATTAATCATTCCAGTACCTTCCCAAGCGAGTTCCTACCGATCAAATTAGTCCCTTCAATCCTTATCATGGTGTGTACGGTGTAGTACACAGTAACCTTAAAGATGGGTCAACAATCATTTTCGCAGATGTAGAATTTTGTTGTCATTTCTTATAAAGTGTTGGTGACTTTGTATGTGATTTTGTTGTTTTTGACTTTTTGTGATCGAATAAAAAAAGTAAAAAAATGACCTAATTTTTCCTAGTGATATATTGACCAGCCACACTTTTTGTGGTTGAATAAAAAAAAGTAAATAAATGACCTAATTTTTTTTATGACGTGTTGACCAGCCATCTCTGACTGTGGTCCAGCTACACGGAAGCGTATACTGTACTACCGGCTGTACGGTGTCATCTGTACACCCGATGGCATTTTTGCAATTTTAATGAAAAACACGGCTTCTTTTGAATGAGCATTAACACAATTTTGTTGAGCATCAAATCTGTTCTTTTGAGTATTAGGAGCCTAACGGTGAGCATCGGTGATGTCTGCTTCATACCTTATACATCACTTTCTGTTTATTATTTTTCGTTTATTAAAAAGTCTTAAGTTATGTCTATAATCAATTTCAATTACTTTTAATATGTGAATCTAATGTAGTATTATATTTTTGAAATATGCAACCTTTTAAAATGAGCATAAACCAGTACCACATGAGTACACATAACTTACAAAATGAGTATAAAAAAATCAAAAAGCACATTTGTGTGTGCTCATTCATTTGAATGTTATACTCATGCGAATTTAACATAAAACTCATTTCTAATGTAGTATGATATGTTTGAAATGTGCAACCTTTTAAAATGAGCATAAAGCAGTACCACATGAACACACATAACTTACAAAATGAGTATAAAAAAAATAAAAAAACGCATTTATGTGTGCTCATTCATTTTGAACGTTATACTCATGTGCATTTAACATAAAACTCATTTCTAATGTAGTATGATATGTTTGAAATGTGCAACCTATTAAAATGAGCATAAAGCGATTCCAAATGAGCATACATAACTTACAAAATGAGTATTAAAAAATTCAAAAGCTCATTTGTGTATGCTCATTCATTTTGGGCACGACACTCATTTGAGTTTAACATACAAACTCAATTCTTATGTGTCCAATATTCATCTGTGTATATTCATTCCTTTTAGACATTATACTCATTTGCCTTTAATACTAAACTCATTTCGATACAGACAGATCCACAAAGAGCTTTCAACTCCTTTCCCTTTTTCTTTCTATAAGCCAGCCCAAAAACAGGGGGTGGGAAGAATTGAATCTCAGATCAAAAGTGAAATCAACATTTCGCTGCGCAATCGATCGGAGTATGTGGCGGCTTGGGCTGCTTCGCGAGTTGGAGACCTGGGAAGTCGACGTTCCGTCTTCATCGATGCCCTTCTTCTTCGCAGATGAGTTGCAGCACGCAGATTAATTACAAAAAAATCCGACTATACCATGTGCACGATACAACCGGCTGTACGACACATCGTTGCCACCACGACCACACTCCCTCACTTAGAAGTGAACAAAGAATTGAAAAATGGGAACCCACTAAAATCAAATCGAATGAACTTGAACTGACCGTCTGATTTACAAATTGTACTTTTGAGTTAAAATACCGACCAACCCGAAATTGCCTGATCAAGACTTGTTAAAACCAACTGAATCCGGTACAAACTTACTCGATCAAGACTTGTTTTATCTGTTGTCATGCGGTACGATTATGGGTCTCACCTTTTCCAAAACAGATCGCAAAAAACCGAACTAACTAAAAATCGAATTGAAGGAAGACCCCTACCCTACCCTCACTCACCTACGGTAAAAATGTTGCTACACACTTTCGCGAAAATTCATTGCATCTCAACCAACATTTAGCCGGGTCGTATCACTCTGAGCACTTTTCTCTTCTAGTTTCGTAATACCACCACCGCAGTTTTGTTAAAAGCTGCACTGCGGCAGCTGGTTGAAAACACACACTCTCTCACCTCTTTTTTTATTCTTTATTTTCCCCGAAATGAAATGCTTTCAACCTTCCACTATAAATATGGTTTAATATTGGTTTATAGAACAGGACAGCTAAAGCACCCCTTCACCTGCTGAGAGGAAGAGGGGAAACAGAGAGGAACTAAATGACAATTTAGCTAATCTGTTTTCTTGAATTCAATGAGAGAGAACCCCTTCTCATTACAATCATATCCATAAAAATGTGCCTTTTTTAGTTGATCCTCAAACCCACATTCCGGCTTCTCAAAACTCACATTGCTAGATTTCTTCGTTCCAAAACAAACTAAATTTCTTTTAGCCCCATCACATTCTCATCTGGTTAGGCCTCCTCTGACAAGGTAATGAAATATGGTATCTTTATTCTGTCCTTTGGTGCGTTTTACCTTCTTTTGTTTTGACGATTTGAATATTGGATTTCGTGGATGGATGGTCTACTATAGATCGATCGATCAATAAAGATTATGCACAAAGGTGTATCATACATCGCTGTTTTGGTTGGGTGTTTATCCCATCTACCTGTCTGTTTATAATTGGATTATGAGATGTGCTTTTTTGCATTGTATTTATTGAGAAAATTTGTCTGTGGAAATGCATTTTTGGCATCCTCTTTTATTTCGGGGAAGAGGGGGGAGAGTTTGATGGAAATTCCATTTTGCATCAGATGTGGCTAAGATCATTAAGAACCCGTTCTTCCATTTTCATTGCCTCTTGTTTGATTGTAAAAGTGCATTTCTTTGTAAACTGACACCTTTTTTTATTTTGCTTCTCGGTAACAGATTGACATTTTTTTGTACTTGAGTCATCCTAGCATTTTTTTGCTGCGAAATGGGAAAGTATTTTTCTAGCTCATTCGATGATTTGGACAGTGAGGTTGAATCATATTTAGTGAGAACTATAAGTTTTGGAAGTGATGGCTTGAAGACCACCATCGAATCCATAAATTTCAGCAGCGATGACACAGAGTCTCCCATATTAAAATCACTCGGCTCAGGAAAGATGATCCTTAAAGGGTCACTTAGTTTTAAGGGCGGGGAATTGGAGACCAAGATCTCCTTGGTGTCTCCTGTTTTCCATAAGGAGACAATTAGATCGGGTGGCATAGCATATGAAAGACTGCCCACACCAGATGGTGTGAAAGCCCTACCTCCCGCCGGCATTTCTAACCAAAGAGACCTGGCTGCTCTAAAATTGCAGAAGACATATAAGAGTTTTCGGACACGAAGGCAACTAGCAGACTGTGCTGTACTTGCAGAGCAAAGATGGTAAGCATCATGTTTTTTTAATTCTATTCTCAACATCACCTATGTATATGGATGAAAATTGTGCACATTCATATAATGCTTCTTTGGAGAACAGTACTATCCCTGCACCTAATAAAAGAGTCTTGTTTCTGATGCTGAAGTCAATATTACTAGTGACTTTTTTGGGGGACAGATGGAGTGTTAGGTTAATATTAAATGGTCACGTTTAGGCTCTATTTGGAACCTGGAAAATGTCAGGAAAGATAATGAGGAAAATGTAAAGGAAATTTGGAAGGACATATAAACTTCTATACTATAAATAACTAATCCGGAATAAATATAAGTATATGATATGGAGTAAAATGTAAAACGTTTAATACAATGTGATTATTCTTCTTAGTATCCAAGGTAAAAGTGAACATAAACATAATTTGCTCAGTCCTTTTCCCATTCCCTACAACCCTGCTTTTTTTCTGGCTTCAAAACATAGCCTCGGTAAGTTTTTAGTGCAAGGAGAATTTTTGTAGACACTATATGATTTTCTTGCTTCCTAATTGTGACTTTTGGCACTATGCAGGTGGAAGATTTTAGATTCAGTCGAACTCAAGTACAATTCTATATCATTCTTTGACATTGAGAAACCTGAAACTGCCATTTCTCGTTGGTCCAGAGCAAGTGCAAAAGCTGCTAAGGTAAGGATAAAGAATTTGTATTCTCTTTAATATACTCGAGTTTTTTTAGTTCATAATTTGAAGATTTTCCAACTTGAAAGGTGGGAAAAGGTTCGTCGAAGGACGAGAAGGCACGTAAACTAGCTCTGCAGCACTGGCTTGAAGCAGTAAGTTTCCTATATCTTTGAAGTTCAAGTAGTCATATTATTATATGGGAAAATCACTATTTGGTCTCTCGATTCATGTTAACTCTGCTATTTAGTCCTTCGTTTCCAAGTTGGTGCAATTCAATCCCTTATTCATTACAAAGTTGTCAACTATAAGCCCCTACATCATAAGTATGGAGTCATTTGACTTGGGGATCTTTAACAACTTCGTAGAAACACACACATCATTTTATTTTTATTTACTGTGTAATGATGTTTGCATTAGTGTGTGAGGGACTGAATTGGTAACATTTTAGATAAGCGAGGGACTTAATTGAACTAAATTGGCAATGACGGAGTGCATTGCATAATCCAAACATTTGAGGGTACAAATTAGTGACCCTCCTTTATTTTTTTCTTCTAAATTTAAATTTGTGTGTTCGGACTTCTTTTTATATTCCTCCACTTCTATGTGAAAAGATTGATCCACGTCATCGCTACGGTCACAATCTTCAGTTTTATTATGTCAAGTGGCTTCAATGTGAAAGCAGGCAGCCTTTCTTCTACTGGTAAGTTTTTTTTGCACCAACTTGCATATAATTGAATAGACACTTTGCTCCAAGTTTTTTATCGATTAAAGTTCCTTCCCTCTTCTTGAATCCATTGATAGGTTGGACATTGGTGAAGGTAAGGAAGTAAATCTAGAGAGGTGCCCTAAATCTAGACTTCAACAGCAGTGCATTAAGTATCTTGGACCGGTTAGTTTCTTTTTCATCCTTTGTTAATAGATGACACTTTTTGATAGATTTTAGGGCTAGGTTGCTCAAATCTCCAAAATGCAATGGGTCAAACCACACTAAAACATCGAATCCAATCTATTACTAGTCTAACTTATAAACTCATATGCCTCTCTCTCTTTAATATTTTCATGTGTGACTCTAACACTTTTCAGGTTTATTGCATTTAGTTTATTAACAGTTTTGAGATGTATCCTGATGTGACAGATGGAAAGAGAGGCATATGAAGTGACAGTGGTAGAGGGGAAGTTTTGCTATAAGAAGACCGGTAAGGCCCTTGACACAAGGGGAGGCCCTGAAGGTGCCAAGTGGATTTTTGTGCTAAGTGTGTCAAGGGTTTTGTATGTTGGAATGAAGCATAAAGGAACCTTCCAGCATTCTAGTTTCTTGGCTGGTGGTGCTACATTGTCGGCTGGGAGGTTAGTCGTAGAAGATGGCACTCTGAAGGTACCATGAATATATGATACAAAATAATATGTAATGTCTTAGCTAGCTGACTTTCATTTTCATTTTAAACCAAGAGTTGTGATTATGATCAATCTTTTTTTGTTCTGTATGCAAGATTAAATTCCAAGATCGACATCATATAATTATATTGATGGAATAAGATTTAGAAATACCTGAGAATAAATTCCTTATCCCTTCTCACCTCTTTATGAGACTATTGATAGGTAGAGATATCTCTCAATTATATTATGTTGGTATTCCATAAGGAATATGCATATATAGAGGTAGAGGAGAGGGATTGGGAACCCTAGTACTAGGTAGACTCAAACACAAGTTCAACTATCATTAAACCAATTAAAAGTTCATAGCTATATGAACTTTATTAATAATATATAACTTTGATTACAAACCAAATATTAATTATTAATTACATATATTCTAACACTGTGATGCAGGCAGTCTGGCCACACAGTGGGCATTATCTCCCTACAGAAGAAAATTTTGAGGAGTTTTTGTCTTTCCTCAACGATCACGATGTTGATATTTCTGTTGTACAGGTAGAAACAAATGAACACACACTAAGGCTCTGTTTGTTTCCAGTAATGCATTTTCCTTCAAAATACTTTTTAAAATCTCCTATTCTTTCTAGCTATATGTTTTTCTTTTCAGTAGCATTTTATGAGATCCAAACGGCCCCTTAGACTTTTTTTGTGAATAGTTTATGTTCTCTACTTTTTCTTGTTCAAGTATTATTTAATACATAGAACAACATATTGCCTAGGAAAGGAATTTCAAAAGAAAACATTTTGCTCCGAAAAGGCGAAAACAATTCAATGGAGTCTTGTGAAAACAAGTTCATAGGCACTTAAAATAAAATACCCTCACTTTTTGTTGTTGTTGCAGAAAGCACCAAGTGGTGAGGAGGAAGAAGCCTTCATTATGAAGGAAAAAAGTTTAAGCCTAAAAAAACACTCCAGTGAAGACTGTTCAGGTGAAAATCGGGATGTGCCAAAGTCAAGATGTCCACCGAGACGAATGAGACCAAACATTGCCAAACTCCAGATTCCGAAGAGGGATGACATCATTGAGTTGTTCAAAGAACAGAAAGAACACAAATCCATTGCAGAAACACCAACAGATGGGTACGTCACAGCAGAAGAAGACGAGCTTTCCGATACGGACATTTCGGTTGCCAAACACAACTTATTCGTGGGTGAAAATGAAGAAGACTATGACGAGCATGTTCCTAAAGATAAGATTATCAAAAGGATAAACTCTCATAAGAAAATGAAATCCTATCAGTTGGCCCATCAACTCTCATCCAGATGGACAACTGGGGCAGGACCGCGCATTGGATGCATGAGGGACTACCCCTTAGAGCTCCAATTTCGTGTGTTGGAGGAGGCTCAGTTGTCCCCTAGGAGTGGTGCTCATTTGTCTACCCGGAAATCTGCCCGTTCACACGCAAGCAATTCATTTAAAAGACCAGTGACCGCCAAAAGTCCACTTGCAGCAAAACCAAACACCCCCTTAGTGCTGTCCTAAATGGAAGGGGATAAGACATATACTAATCCCTAGTTTTTCTTTTAGATGGAAAATATGAAGTTGGAATGCATGTCCTGCCACTTCTATAGCAAATCTGTAGTTTCAGCCATTCTTTTACTATTCTTTTGTAAATCATACAAAAGAGGACAAATGATTCCTCTTTCATCGTTATTCTTAATATATTTTTCTTTTAAAAAATGAAGTCTTGAGTTCTGTAATCCCTACTTTCATGTTCCTTGAGTTTTTCCAAACATTGATATCAACAATTCATAGGCAATTAGCATAGAGTGTGTTAAATAAAACATGCACACCCACGCACGCGCGTACACACACATATACAGAAAAGATCTTGTCCATGATCAGGTCCATTCAAAAGTACCTTTTTGTATGGGGCAATACGTTAAGATAGCAAATACATGAAAAGGGGGCGCATTTTACACAGTGAGCTTTTAATACTCAAGTGGTCCTACAAACCTTCTGTAGCTGCTTGGGGAAAACCAATTAGCAATCATAAACTTAATTTTCATGCTTCTTCTAAAGGTGGAGGTGCGGTTTTAATATATTTCAATGGAGAATTTATATTAGCTATATCACATACCCATCAATTACGGCTAGCATTTTTTTTCGGAGCTTTATTGCATGCATGAGATACTTACACATTACTTTGGAAGGGCACCAAAATTTCATTCTTGAACTGGATTCATATGCAGCCTTTTATTTCATTGTTTGCTCTCCAAATCCAAGACGATTCATGCGATAATCTTATTCAAATGGTGCGTAAAATCAGTCTTATTTTGCGACTATCAAACATTACACCAACCTTTTGTCAATTAGCTACTAATAAAGTGGCTACCTTGCTTGCTACTTTAGCTAACCCTACTAGCTCTACCATCATGAGAAATACCTCAGAACTTCATCCCAGAATTAGAGGTGCCTTAGCTTTAGATGCTCTAAATGTTCCTTATGTATTCTTTGATCCAGGGTAAAGGTCTATGTCCCCTTGTGTAATTTTTTTACTTGATAAGACTTTTCTTAAAAAAAAAAAAAGAACAGAAAAGATCCTGCCACGGGATCCACCTTCCACTCTTCCAGCCTCCTCCATTTGAGATGTTGCGCGTGAAATTTGTGTGCAATGTTTTCCAATAATTTATTTAATTGACTTTTGAATTGAATTTTAAGCTGAAATTCAGACGACATAATTAACATTTCATGAAGAACTCGCTGACAAAATTTCATCAGAAAACTCAACCAAGAAGCACTTCAAATAGTTGCGGCAGAACGACGGATTCTGTCAGACAACCTCACAGGATCATTACTCTCTCTAATATATATAAGAACATACTCTTATGAGGGAAATGATAATGAATCTGGATCATTAGATTCTTTTTAAGTGAATTCAATGTGCATTAGATGAAACTGTAATGTGCATCAGGTGAAATCGAAATGTGCAACACAAAGGTACGATACAATGACATTATGTGAAGCTGAATTGTTCATTATGAAAAATTGAAATGCGCACTAGGTGAAACTGAAATGTGCTGAATAAAAGGTACGGTGTGATGTTATTTTTGTACCTTTTATTTTACACATTTCAGTTTCACCTAATGCACACTTGATTTTAAATTTTTATTCTGCGTATTTCAATATCATCCAATGCACATTTTAGTTTCGCCAAATGCACAATTAAATTCCACATAATATAATACACCGGTCCAAATTCATTCTCATTTTTCTCCCAAGAGTCCGTTCTTACTGGAACCGTTCCCTATATATAGAGAGAGAGGATGAATCTGGTGAGAAGCCTGCTAAGGATGAAAAGTGAGAAGTAATAGGGAGCGTCCGATCTTAGCAAATCTGGCGGCCGATGTTTTTTAATGGCCTCTCACCAGTTTATTAATTAATACTCCCTCCGTCCCAGAAAATTCTTCCAACTTTCCTTTTTGGGACGTCCCAGAAAATTCTTCCAACTTCACATTTTTGATTATTTGTGTGGCTCACATTCATTTCACCTTTTTCTTACACAACTACAACCATACATTTTTACTTTATTCCATTACCTAAATATGCGATCCAAGTCAAAGTTGGAAGAATTTTCTCGGAAGGAGGGAGTAACAAATCTTCCTTGCTCAGTCTGTGATTATCCGTTTGAGAAGGCAGAATCATCCGCGATGAAGCCCTCTTCCGCTGAGAAGCCAGAACCACCCGCGAACAAGCCCTCTTTCGCTGAGAAGCCAGAATCAACTGCGAACAAGCCCTCTTCCACTGAAAAAGCACCGATTTTTCATCAGATTCAACTCTAGGTTTGTTTCCGTCTCACTCCTTCGTCTTGTATCTCTTCTTCTTCATCGATCAATATTTCTAACTAAAATGAGAATTTGTGCGATTCTAGTCTAATCTAGGTGCGCTTCTACTCTAATCTAGGTGCGATTCTATCCCTAATCTAATGGCAGGTCATCAACGATTTTGGGCATGAGTCTAATTATGTTTGTATGGATGAGTCAATTTCATTGGATAATTGATCAATTTTGGTAAGGATTTTGATATGGATTAATTGATCATCCAATGGCAGTTTTGGGGATGAGTCTAATTCGTTGATCAGTTAAAAGACTAAATTTCTTTTAACTCAATTGGGGATGAGTCTACCCGGTAAGAAACTGATCAAGGATTTCTTACGAGTCAATTTTGGGGATGAGTCTAATTCGTAACTTTTAACATAGGTAGACACACTCCCACCTAAGCTAAAAGAAATTGATCAAGCTCAAATTCATTGGATAGTTGAATCATATAGAATGAATTTTTGCCAAACCTTGATAAAGGATTTTTTTTCTTAAAATCATTTTCTTACGATTTTAGGATTATAGGTTATGGTTTATATGAGATTAGTAAAAATCATTATTGTAATGAAAGTGTATTCTGAACTTGCAAACTATTTGTTGAAATAGATATTGAGTTCAAGTTATGTCTTTCGGTTATTTTCTTATTGTGAACTTAAGTTATGCCTAGTGAAATAGATATTGAGTTCAAGTTATGTCTTTTAGTTATTTTCTGATTGCGAATTTAAGTTATGCCTGCCAACTATTCGATAAAATGTTATAATGGTAGTGGTGTTAATGTACCCCACATTTAAGTTATAAGTTATGATTGATTGGTTAGAAGTCACTTTTATGGTTCTATTAGTATATGCATAATTTGTTTTCATTCTTTCTGAATGAGAATTTAGTTTACTCTTGTTGTTTTTAGTTTCTGATTTGCATTATTATTCTTCAGCGGTTATGATCTAAAATGTGGGCAGAGGCCACTCTTGATATTGTGTACTGTATTTTTATTGTGAAATCATAATCTGTTTTAGAAGTTTTAGTAAAAATTGTGTGTTTTGATGAAAGTTATGTATTTTATTTACAAAAGTATATGATCTTAAATTTTAGAGGTCTTACCATTTTTCCGTAAAAGTTGTCACTTTTGATTTAAAAGTTATGTTTTTTTAATTACAAGCTATAGTCATAATTAATATACACTTACAAGAAAAAATGTAAGCTCTTAAGCCTTAGAGGTCTTCGGAGTTTTAGTAAAAGTTAAGCTCTTTAACCTTAGAGGTCTTGAAGTTTTAGTATAAGTTAAGCCTTTTGGTTTTAAAGTTATGTTTTTTTGGTTTACAAGTTATAGTAATTTTAGTAAAAGTGATATTCGTTTAAGCTTCTCTAAATCGTTGAGATCAATTCTTCATTCCAAGTCTGATCCTTTCATTTAGTTATATTTTATCCTCACTTCACATTTATATGTTAAGCTCTTAACATTTATATCTTCAATCGTGGAGGTTTAGAAGTCTTAGTAAAAGTTGTGTGTTTTGATTTAAAAGTTAGTTTTTTTTTTAATTACAAGTTAAAGTAATATTTAATTTACTTTTTTACAAAAATTATAGGAGCTTAAAGTTTATAGGTCTTATCATTTTTAGTAATAGTTATTCTTTCTGATTTAAAAGTTATGCTTTTTGATCTACAAGTTTGCTACTTTGGATAACTTGGTTTATTTGGAACGACCGAACATTTGTAGCTTCTGTGAACTGGAATCAGAATCAATTCCTCATCTTTTCTTTAGTTGCCCTTTTTCTGCAGGTATCTGGTTTGAAATCCGTAAATGGCTGGGAATAAAGAGAAACATGAACACCATTTCAAGCTCCATCAAGTGGATTAGAAAGGAGCATGGGGGTGTGCGGGTCCGGAGTAAAGTGGTGGCTCTCGCTTTCTGTTGTGCAGTTAACAAAAAACTAGAGAATGAGGAGCAGTGCGTACTTTGACTGTATCAAGTGTAATACCCCGAAAATTTAAGTGAAAATTTTCGTTTAAAAAGAAAATATGAATAATTTTGTTAATAAGATAAATGCGAGAAAAGTAACATTTTTTTGATGATTAGGTTGATCAAATAAAATTTGTACTCGGATAAAAAGAAAAGTGACTTTTTATCAAATGATATATAAGTAGTACATACTCCTGTAGTATACTTGATTGAAATATCCACCCACACACGTACACTACTAATATTCCGTATATACTACTTCGTATTTACATATGTAGATCATAACATATACATATATACATACGTAACCTATATATACATACGTAACCTATATATAATCAGATACACATGACCTGCGTTCAGGATATACTACGAACCACACACCTGCGAGATCTAGAGAAAATAGAGGAATAGAAAGAAAAGAAAAGAGAGCGTGAGAGAGAGGGGAGAAAGATCGAGGACCGGAGTCAAGACGTCGAAGGTTGCCGTACTGACCAGTCATGTGGCTGAACCACTCGCCGGAGAAGAAAACCCGACCAATTCGTTGTGCCGGGTTGTTGGTAAAGCCACCGTCGTCGTTCGGACTGTGGATGGCGTTGGAAGAGTAGACCGCAGGGTTTGTCGATGATGGGAAGCCCGGCTGCTAAGCTGCTGCACTCTCCCCTATTTGCTGCATAGCATCATCCGAAGGAGGAAGAAGAGTACGTAGTACTCTGCACCTTTCTTTTGTTTGAATATTGGGCTTTAGTAAATGTAGTAAATGAATCGTCTGGACAATTTTAAATAATTGGGTCAATTAAAATAAACTAATAAATTTATGGATTAAATTGATGAATTATCATGACCAATTTATAATGGAGCAGATTGAGTTTATGGATTTGAGAAACAGACTGAAAATTGATAACAAGAGTTAAGCTAAGGTGGGCTAATTAATCTCAATTGATAAATAAAGTATTAATTTTAGA